TTTAAAATGTAATTTATTCCTGTGATCAAAGCTGAATTTTCAGCATCATTACTCCACTCTTCAGTGTCACATGATCCTTCAGAAATCTTTCTAATATGCTGATTTGCTGCTCAAGAAACATTTCTGATTATTATCAATGTTAAAAACAGTTACATGTTTGTGGGAACTGTAATACGATTTTTTCAGGGTTCTTTGTTGAACAAAAATATAAAAAGAACAGCATTTATTTGAAACAGAAATCTTTATAAATGTCTTTACTTTCACTATTGATAAATTTAACGTGACCTTGCTGAATAATTATAATATTTATTTCTTAAAAAAAACAAAAACAAAAAAAAAACCGTACTAACCCCAAACCTTTAAACGGCGGTGTATATAAATATATAATTAAATTATTTAAATAATAAACAATTGTCACCTGATCACTTCAGATCTTAATATCAGGTGTAAACAAGGCTTGGAAGTTTTTTTTATATAACTATAATAAAAAAATAAAAAAATAAATATATATATATATATATTTTACAATTATTTAGTCTGACCTTGCAGAAAGGGGAAAGAATATAAATATAATGAACAACATAACTGAAAAAATAAATATGGAAATAAAAATAACTGGAAATTCCACTGCAATTGTACAATGACTTTTATATTTTTTAAACCCATAAACAGAGAATGCCAAATATATGCTCATTTACTGTATCTTCACAATGAAATTTCCTTTCTTTTGCTCTGAGCTGTCCAATGATTACATGCATGCTGTAACGTCTGTGTTTACTGAGGAGACAGATCTTCCAGCTCATGCCTATACTTTGGCATGCTGAGTCAGCACTTCACTTTAGCACATGCTCAGACTGAATCTGAGCCACAGATCCATGCAGATGGGATGCGAGCATGCCACAGACGACTACACTCAATCACTCTACTGCTTTACCTTTCTCCTCCTCAGACAGCTCCACTATAGGATCCAGTTTGTGGACTGAGCTGGACTGCTCTAATAGGACAGTGCAAAGAGGTCAGAGAAGAGTGTAAGGGTTACGGATGGACATATTCAAATCTAACCCTTAGCCTAAACCTCTCATTTTGCACTGATATTACCCATACTGACCATATGCTGATTAAATCCAATTCTGTTAGTGCATGTACATTAGATTTGAAGCCATCTATATGCTAATGTTCATATGTTATGTTAATGTTCATACACTACAGTTCAAAAGTTTGGGGTCAGAAAGTTAAAAAACAAAATAATATTTTTGTTCAGCAAGGAAGCATTAAATTGATCAAATGTGACAGTAAAGACATTTATAATGCCATCAAAGAATCCTGAAAAGTAGAATGGTTTCCACAAAAAGCTGCACAACTGTTTCAAAACTGATAATAATAAGAAATGATTCTTGAACACCAAATCAGAATATTAGAATGATTTCTGAAAGATCATGTGTCACTGAAGACTGAAGTAATGATGCTGAAAATTCAGCTTTGTATCACAGAAATAAATTACATTTTA